TTACTTTTTCTCATCACATCAGGGGCAAAATTGGAAAGTCAACCAAAATTTCACTTTCCTTATTTTTTTCCAAAGTCAAAACCGGAAGGGTTTTGTGGAACGGATGGAGTAACAAATAATGCTTTATTTCTTGAATAAATAGAAGAGGAATACAAAGTATGTATTTATAGGTGGAAGAATATATTCTAGAATCCTCCATATTAATGACTAATTATATAAGGTAATATTATATAATAATAATACCAACTATAATAGGTAACAACCATAATTATAATATGTAATATTAAATATATTAAATAATTGATATATTTAACATGCTCCCAACGTCCTGAACGGTGAAGATTGAACGCCAACTATACTTGAATCGTGACCAGAATTGTAATCAGAAGCTAGAGGCATATCTTCGTCTAGAGTAGACTGAATGCATCCGGCCTAGAAGAGAAGAAGAAAGATTGCTAGGAAAGAGATGCGAAGGCGCTGATGAAGAGAGGAGAAAAGCCGCTGCGAACAGACTCGTGCTGCTGACGTCGAAAGAGGGAGAAGGTTGACGTGCACTGGAGTCGTGCGCGACTGTGTTAGAGAAGAAAAACAAGGAATGAGGTATTGCCGGAGATGCATGTTGACCGACGATCTACCCCGTTACTCCATACTTCCATATCTCCTTTATACTCCCGATATGAAATACGGAAAAAATCAGATTTCATCCTTCAAAATTGTGACTCGGCCAATTTTCTTCAATGTCCATCGCAACATTGGTTCCTCTCACTCTCGACTGCGACTCTCCAAGTCAAACAACAACAACAACAAACCCAGTTAAATCCACAAGAGTAGGGTCTGGAGAGGGTGTGTGTACGCAGACTTTACCCCTACTTGAAAGTAGAGAGCTATTTCCAAAGAGACTCCCAGCTCAGCGTCGAAAGTTGCATTGCTTGACTAACTGCTACTTCATTAATTAAAAAAGCACAGACAGTTTAGAAATTCATTTTGAGTTATTCTATCACTCTCCAAGTCAATGGATTCTTATAAATTGCCCCTCCTCATTTCTTCTTCACACAAGGTATGTGTTAAATATATCAATTATTTAATATATTTAATATTATATATTATAATTATGGTTGTTACCTATTATAGTTAGAGTTATTATTATATAATATTACCTTATATAATTAGTCATTAATGTGGAGGATTCTAGAATATATTCCTCCACCTATAAATACATACTTTGTATTCCTCTTCTATTTATTCAAGAAATAAAGCATTATTTGTTATTTTAGATGGTATCAGAGCCACCGTTCTTGGTGACCTAAATTTCTCCGCTTTCGCTTCTAGCGGGTGGCACCGCCGCCCGCTGGATCACTGTTTTCCTCTGATCCAAATTCTTCCATTATACAAAAAAAAATCTCTATTATAGTCACCGGCATCTCTAACGTCATCCTCTTCTCCTAATCGCCGCAACTCTGACCAGCGTCCCCTACTCCACCAAACTACCGGCCTCTCCTGGCGCAGAGATCGCACCTGTTCACTCGAGAGTAACACGAGTCAGAAGTCATTCTCCTCCAATCACCCTTCAATCCCTATTTTTTTCTCATCACATCAGGGGCAAAATTGGAAAGTCAACCAAAATTTCACTTTCCTTATTTTTTTCCAAAGTCAAAACCGGAAGGGTTTTGTGGAACGGAGGGAGTAAAAAATAATGCTTTATTTCTTGAATAAATAGAAGAGGAATATAAAGTATGTATTTATAGGTGGAAGAATATATTCTAGAATCCTCCATATTAATGACTAATTATATAAGGTAATATTATATAATAATAATACCAACTATAATAGGTAACAACCATAATTATAATATGTAATATTAAATATATTAAATAATTGATATATTTAACATGCTCCCAACGTCCTGAACGGTGAAGATTGAACGCCAACTATACTTGAATCGTGACCAGAATTGTAATCAGAAGCTAGAAGCATATCTTCGTCTAGAGTAGACTGAATGCATCCGGCCTAGAAGAGAAGAAGAAAGATTGCTAGGAAAGAGATGCGAAGGCGCTGATGAAGAGAGGAGAAAAGCCGCTGCGAACAGACTCGTGCTGCTGACGTCGAAAGAGGGAGAAGGTTGACGTGCACTGGAGTCGTGCGCGACTGTGTTAGAGAAGAAAAACAAGGAATGAGGTATTGCCGGAGATGCATGTTGACCGACGATCTACCCACGAAGCAGGTTGAGGTGATGATCTGAGTTGTGAGAGATCGAAAAAAATAGGGATTGAAGGGTGATTGGAGGAGAATGACTTCTGACTCGTGTTACTCTCGAGTGAACAGGTGCGATCTCTGCGCCAGGAGAGGCCGGTAGTTTGGTGGAGTAGGGGACGCTGGTCAGAGTTGCGGCGATTAGGAGAAGAGGATGACGTTAGAGATGCCGGTGACTATAATAGAGATTTTTTTTTTGTATAATGGAAGAATTTGGATCAGAGGAAAACAGTGATCCGGCGGGCGGCGGTGCCACCCGCTAGAAGCGAAAGCGGAGAAATTTAGGTCACCAAAAACGGTGGCTCTGATACCATCTAAAATAACAAATAATGCTTTATTTCTTGAATAAATAGAAGAGGAATACAAAGTATGTATTTATAGGTGGAGGAATATATTCTAGAATCCTCCACATTAATGACTAATTATATAAGGTAATATTATATAATAATAACTCTAACTATAATAGGTAACAACCATAATTATAATATATAATATTAAATATATTAAATAATTGATATATTTAACACATACCTTGTGTGAAGAAGAAATGAGGAGGGGCAATTTATAAGAATCCATTGACTTGGAGAGTGATAGAATAACTCAAAATGAATTTCTAAACTGTCTGTGCTTTTTTAATTAATGAAGTAG